AAAGAGGATGATGGGGACAAAAAAAGAATAAATAAAGATATGTGAGTTTAGGGGTAAGTGAATGAATTGAAAAATAGAAATTATTGAGAAGTGTAGAAAAGCCCACAGAAGGACTGGACAGGGAGAGAAATGGGTAAAACATAGGCGAAACACATAGAAAGAGAAGAAAGAATAGGTAGTGAGGAGAATTGATCAGCAGAATGATCATAGTCAAGATTGCACTCGGCTGAATAGCACTTAGGAGTGAACGAAATGGCCAAAGTAGTGCAGCAAAAAGATAATCAATAAAATGCTTAGCTCTGTGCAGTTAAGTTAGTGCTGTACTTTTAGTTTTTTAGAAAAAAAACACTTACTTTAGTAAGGGCTGACCAGACAGCAGTGGACAGTTTTGGGCAGTTGTGGTGGTCCTACTGCAAGAGCTGTTGTCGTCTTATGTCGCTTTAATGGCAATTTTTGTCACTATTCAGCTGTGGACACAGTGTAAAGAAGATGTTCATCACAGAGAGTAATTGTCACAATAAGCAGTAGTAATGTTGATGATGCAAAAGTTTAAAAGGAGTCTAATGTCAATTAAAAGATGTCACAGTATGAAAAGTCAAAATGAGAGCTTTAGCGAACAAGTCAAGCTGAGAAAGCAAGATAAGCAGCAATCATCAGCCAAAACTGTCGCACTTAGAAAATTGAAAGTGAGCAAAGTCAGACACACAGGACACACAATCACAAGTAAAGTGCCGAACAGTTCAGTGAAGTTAGTCTCGGCAAAAGTGCAAAGCTTTTTCACGCTTTGCAGCAGGGGTCGAGGCCTGACCAGCTGAAGAGAACGGCGGAGACAGACCGCCGTCTGTTTCTGATTAGATGAGGACAGAGAGACTGAGCGGCACCGGGGAAACAGGAAAAAAAGACACTGAAGATGACACTGAATCTGAAAGAGTCAACTAAAAGGAGGAAGTGAGTCACACAAAGGAGTGAAGGGGAGAGGACAAAGTGAGGGAGTGAGGGAGAAGGAAAGAAGGAGGAATGAGACACTGACAGACACTGAAGAAAGCACACACACACAATCAACGGTGAAACTATGTGCCAGATGAGAAGAAAAACAGAAGCAGAAGCAACAACAAAAAATATTTTTAGATGACCGCACACACAGCGTGCCAAGATGACAATAAAAAAAATGAGACAACAGATGAAAATGAAAAGGAGTAGAGAAACGTGTTCATGAATCGAAAAAGAGAATATTTGGTAGTTCTTTGCTTAGGCTCTGAAAGTGCTCTGAAAGTGCTCTTTCTCTTTTACTTTTTAGTTCAAGTTCACCAAAACTCACCAAGTTTGGCACGAGTTCTTGCTATATATGATGCGGGCGCATTTAGTCTTGTTTTTCATTTTAAAAAGTGATGACTTTGCAGTGCTGCAAACACACTGCACAAGCACACGTGATCCGAAGGGAATATCAAAGTTGGAATGACGCACGAATTAGGTTATCAGGAGAGAGAGAGAGAGAGAGAGAGAGAGAGAGAGANGAGAGAGAGAGAGAGAGAGAGAGAGAGAATTCGAAATCTCTAGTAACGGACGAGTGATTCTGGGGTATATTTTTAGCTCAATGTGACCACCATCGTCATCATCTTCTTTTTTATCATTTCAAAATTATTCTTTCTAGCATGAAGGTTCCTACACAAAATTGTATGTGCTAAAAGAAATAATTTTATGTTATTAATTTTTCCAGCATTAGCTTTGTTTCAACTTTCATTACCTATTAATTGTAATTGTGAAATTCGGCAGTAGGCCACAGTAGCAAAAGGTCCCAACAGTTTTCTGAGCAAGTCTTCATTTAAAAAATGTCTCAGCGACAGTGGCACAAAAATGTCAAATGACGGAAGTACATTTTTTAGTTTTTTTAGTTTTCACTGCTAATTTTTTGTGACTGCTTCATTTGCACTCGGAAAAAAAGTAGCTTAATGATGAATGGTACTTTTTTGGTAGAGCCTATTTGTCCCAACTCCACTTATAAGCAGATCGATATCAGCCTGCCGCTTGTCAATTTTCTGGTGCAGCCAATTTCACTTTTTCTAATTGTTGTTTTAATAAAAATGTCTTTTATCAAAAAAAGTACATGATCCAAAAGTCAGAGTAATTGAAGGGCAAAAGTTGACTAATTTTTTCTAAATCAAATTACCAAATACTGCTTAGCTAAAGGATAAAAAAAGTAGTGCTAATACGCGTATTTGGTTGGTTTTATAGACCACTACACAGCAACTGTAATCGATAGGTTTTCAAGGCAAAAAGAAAGAGCTGATTATGCGGTACATTGCTCAATTTTTTTGGCGTTTTCAAAAGACGTCAACGAGATAGAGCTGACAGCGTTTGAACCGACGTGGAAACGTCACACCAGTCAGCAAAGAACTGTCAATTTGTCAGGCAGGAGCTGTCAGCTGTAAGCTACCTGACAAATGGTGCACAATTTCAAAATTGTCAACTGTTCACTGTTCTGTCGGCCATTAAATTAAAATGCTCAGTGAAAATGCAGAGAAAAATAGTCAGCAAAAGTGAGTGAACAAATGTACAGCATCAAAAACAACAAAACCAAAATCAAAAGTGCCTAAACTAATTTCCAGCAAACAGATTGAAAAAATTAGATTGCATAGCATAGCAAACATTCTTCTGATTTCTGCTTTGCTGGAAAGCTGCACTGTCAGCAGTCATAAAATGGCTTCAAAATTTTCAATTGAATTTCACTCTAAATTACCATCTTTATTAGATTTTAGCAGCTTCAGCTAGACTAAGATAACGGTGCTGTTGCTGAGAAAGGGGTTACAACATTTTTTATAAAGTGGAAGAGAAAAAAGATAAAAAGATAGACACCATTGGCTCGAGTAGAATAGAAGGAAAAAACTTAATCAGAATATAAAAACGGGGTTATTGAGAATGAGAGACGGGTAAAAATGGACAGGGAATGGTAGGGTTGGTAGAATTGCACTGGAAAATGTGTGCTAGTTTACAGGAGACGTGTGTTTAGGGACAGAAATAGAATAGCTTTTTGAGGAGGTAAGTGAGCTGAGAGAGAACATGAACATGAACATGAACATGTAAGTGTGTGTATGAAGTTACT